TTTGTACACCCGTGGGCCGAGACCTACAACCTGACCTCAACACAAGTGCGACAATCACATGGGGGATGCTGTACAGGTCACCTGTCGGCTCAGTGTTGGTCCCGCCCCCAGTCTACAGCCTACCGGGCCCAAACCTGGCCATTTCTTCCAGGGCCTTTCTCTCAGAGACCCCACTCCCACTATTGGCTCCCAGCCCATGCTTTCCAGTGTCCAGTGTTAAAGACAGCTGTGGCCCAGGAAATGTAGGACATAGCAGGTGCATGTCCTGCGGTCATTGCTGACTGCAGGAGGGAATAAATTCCCTCAACAGGGTTAAATCTTGGTATTTCTTTTTCATTTTAACATTTATTTATTTATTAAAGATTTATTTTTTTATCGCAAAGTCAGATATGCAGAGAAGGGAGAGACAGAGAGGAAGATCTTCCATCCAATGATTTACTCCCCAAGTGACCACAAAGGCCGGTACTGTGCGGATCCAAAGCCAGGAGCCAGGAACTTCTTCTGGTTCTCCCATGCGGGTGCTGGGTTCCAAGGCTTTGGGCCGTCCTCGACTGCTTTCCCAGGCCACAAGCAGGGAGCTGGATGAGAAGTGGAGCTGCTGGGGCACAAACTGACACCCATATGGGTTGCCTGCACTTGAAGCTGGGAAAGCGGAGGAGCTGTTACACCAAGCGCTGTGCCTTCTCTTGTACCTCAATGTCCTTGCCTCTCTCTCCCAAGGATGCTTGCCACTAGGCTCACCCGGAAGCTGGCGTCAGGATCTGTGTACATTCCAGCTGCGAAAACTTGCTGGGATGATGAGGCCCAGCCACAGAGGCGGCAGGGATGAGGGCAGGGCCAGCCGGGCCCGCAGGTCACCACTGACTTTGCTTCCACTCTAAACCTCCACCTCTCACGCAATTAACTTCATCATTCTGTCTGACAAAGTAAAGCCCTGGGCTATGCCTCAGAGCAGGTGCGTTGCCAGCATGGGGGTGGAAGAATATTGATCTACATAGAGATTTCTAGAGCTAGAGTGCAGCAGCACCCCCAGATCCACCCGCCCTGCCCACTCTGGAAGAGGTACAAGCTGAGCCCCAGGGCAGGTGAGCTACTGTCACCCAGTCTTCCCCCAGCCCCTCAGCCTGCGTCCCAATCTGCCATGAGCACCTTCCCGGGCTCTCGGACGCAACAGTGCCCATCTCAGTCACTTCACCCAGGGGGACACGCGATGGGGTGGGGCGTGGTCTCCTCAGCGTCCCCAGGGGCAGGGGCTCAGAAAGAACCACCCCCTCCCCAGCCCCCGGTACTCTAAGGACAGCAGCTCCAGGACAGGGCAGACAGGACGTTGCCTCTGCCTTTGTCTGAAGTCAGCTCCTGCCCGCTTTTGCATCCACATTGCTAAAACTTTATTATTAATTTTTATTGGCAAGGCAGAGAAGATAAGGCAGACAGAAAGATTCTTTATCTGTTGGTTCACTCCCCAAGTAGCCGCAACCCCCATCCAAGCCTCCCCCATAGGAGGCAGTGGCCCGTCTTCTGACCCGGAGAACGTGAGCAGGCAGCTGGAGCCGGAGTGAGGCAGCTGGGCTGTGACCCGCTGCTCTGCCAGGGGACACTGGCTTCACAAGCAGGGCTTCACCCAGGCTCTCACTCCTCCCTCCTTCGGTGCAAGCCCCTCTGCTCCCTGGCCCGTCCTGCCCACCACTCCCAGCCTCAGCAGCTCAGCGCTGCCCCGCCTCCAACATCGCTTTGACAAGCCCTTCCCCCCACCCGGACCCGGGTCACTTTGACCTGACTCTGTCTTGGCCACTCCCTCGGTTCCTTGACATCGTGGTAGTTCTGTGGAAGGTCCTGACCCCACACAGACCTGCCCCTACCCCCACCCCAATCTCTCCCTGTCTAACCTGTGCTAGGCCTGACGGCTTACTGAAACTGTATCTTATTTTATTCTTAAAAGTTTCTCTTCTCCACCTACGGAAACTCCAGGAAGGGGCAGCGTCTCTGTATCCCCGCTCGCCGCCCTCCATCCTAAGTCTGACTGTAACACAAGGGATACACCGTGAATGAGTCACTGTTGCCGGGCCTGGGTCACTCCCAAGCCACGGCCAGCCTGGGGTCAGACCTGGGCTGGGGCGAGGCCGGCCTGGGGCTCCCAACTCCACTGCTCCCCTCCAGCCCCAGCCAGGAAGATAGCTACAGAACCTTTCTAAAACCAGGTGGTTGTTCTTTTCTTTTTAAAAATCTATTTATTCGCTGGAAGAGCAGAGTGAGGGAGGGTGGAGGGGGGTGGAACAGAGATCTTCCATCGGGGGTGTGGGGGGTTCATGCCTCAAGTGCCTGCAATGGCCAGGGCTGGGGCCGGGCTGCAGCCAGGAACCAGAAGCTCCATCCCTGTCTCCCATGTGAGTAGCAGGGACCCAAGTACTTGAGCCATCACCTACTGCTTCCCAGAACAGGGAGCTGGATCAGAGCCAGTGCAGCCAGAACTGGTGCTTTGCAGGCAGTTGTCTAACCCACTCTGCCACAACACTGGCCCCTACAGTCTGAGTTTTTGTAAATATTTATGAAGCCAGTGTGGTGGCCTCTGCCCATAGTGCTGGCATTCTAGATGAGCCCCAGTTCGAGTCCTGGCTGCGGCTGCTCTGCTTATGGCCTTGGATGCAGTAGGCGATGGGCTCCCATACGTTTGTGGGAGGCCTGGAAGAAGCTCCATGCCCCTGGCTCAGATCAGCTCAACTCTGACTGTGGCGACCATCTGGGGAGTGAACCAGCAGATGGAAGATCTGCGTGTATCCTCTCAATAACTCTACCTTTCCAAACAAACAAAAAAAAAGTTTTTAAAAGAACTTACTATTTACTAAATTAAAGGGTAGAAAGAGAGACGACCCCTAGCCCACCTCAAATGCGTGCAATAGCTAAGTGTGGGCCAGGCCGGAGCCTGGGAGCATGGCCGGGACTCGCCTGTGGCTCCATGATCGCCACTGCTGCTCTCCGCCAGGGCCTGCAGTGAGGAGCCAGAGGCCAGAATCAAACCCACAGGGCAGGTGTCTCCCCTGCCGGGCAAGCCCCCTGTTCTCTGTGTTAAACTACTGAGAAACAAAGCCTGTTCTGCGAAGCCTGATTTAGAACCGCAACTTAAAACGCACATGCCTAGGACCTGGCGGCACAGTGAGGAGCGTGGTTAACCCACTGGATCCTTATTGAGTGCTAATTGGTGAGAGGCACCTGGAGCCCGAGCTCCCGGCCTTGCGGCTCACAGCTCCACAGCGGCAGTACTGGGGCAGCATAGCTCCAGGCAAGTGTTTGCGCTCTGCTTCTGACCTGGCCACACTCCTGTGGGCCAAAGGACCCAGCTCAGAACTGGTGCCAGCTGGGTGGGCCCCGGCTTGGAAGGAATGGGACCGTGGCACAGTGGCTGGGTTTTCTGCCATGTCGGGGCATGGAGGTAGGGGTCCGCATGGCGGGGCGAAGGAAGTGGGCTATTCCGAGCTAACCCAGCTTGTGGGCATGTGTGGGCGTGGGTGATGAAGCATGGGTGTGTGGGGCCGAGCAGAGATTGCTGGGAGAAGCAGCGGAGCTGAGCCAGCATGGCCGGAGTGGTGGGGGTGGGGAGCGGTTCAAGCGGGAGAAGCTTCCAGAAGGCAGGAGGGCTGCAGGCCAGTGCTCACTGACTGGAGCAGGGTTTCTGCTGCACTGTCGGCCTGAACTCTTTCCTGTCCACAAACAGGGGCCAAGTCTCTCCCCACGGGACCCATTTCCAGAAGGAGTGAGCCCCAGCGGTGCTGACCACCCCAAGTGAAGGTACAGCTTTCTTGTGTGAGAGGTGAGAGACAGTTATAAATTCTTCACTTGATTTACAATTCAAAGGGAACTTGAACTAGCTTCCTCTAAAAGACACATGACCTCAGCTAAAAATAAAGCAGAGTGCTTGCTGGGAAGCCACCGAGAGGAAAGCAGAAAGCCGTTCTAGCCTTGGAGACCCAGGGGGAGTGCCCCACAAGCAGGCAAGCAGGCTGCTCACAGCTGGGGCTTCCTGGCACCCCAAGCGAAAGGGAGGGACAGGACACCTTTCCAGGGGTCGCTAACAAAGGGAGGCACAAGGAGACCCTTCCTGGTGCATGCCAGGGACCGGGAGGATGGAGTTCCGTGGCTTGGTACCTGCAGGAGGATGCTGTCTTCCTAGGCATGCCCTGGGGTTGATCCCGCGGCCCTTCCCAGGCTGGGGAGACGTGCCAGGGCTGCAGGGTGGAAAGCCTTTCTGGGCACGCCTCGGTCCCTCAGAGCGCCTTGCATCCCAAGACCCAAGGGTATCCTTTAAACTACCCATTTCTTACATCGCTGAAACCAAGCAGTGCTAGCTAAACTGCAACCCAGCAGGCAGGGCCAAGGGGCGACTACAAAGTCCCAATTCACCCCTTTGCAGTCAAGTCAGGGTGTGTCCACTTCTCTCCTAGTTTTTGGCAGGACCTCCTGGGTCCTCAGGGACAGCTTGGCACTTAGGAAACAGGCTCTGGGCAGGCTGCTGCCAACTTCCACCCCTCCGGGGTCCTCCCCAGAGCTGCGGAACTGCCAGGGGATCTGAGAAAAGGAAAACAGCCTCGCCAAACATACTCTCCTTTCTGGAGACCCGCTGGGTCCCGGCTGGTCTCTGTCCAAGGGCACGAGAGCCGCTCGGCCCACTTCATCCCTCCAGGATTTGAGGCTTGCTGTCACAGCCGGGATGCTCCTGCCCCTCTCCTTCCCTTCCGCCAGCCCGCGCCTTCCCGGGCCGGTTGCAGAGCCTCAGCCTTGGGGCGTCCCTCTGAGCGCCTGCTGCTGGAGCCGCCCCAAAGCCCTCCTCTGGCCTCGGGACAGATTCCTGGGGGAGCGGACACCGAGCTTATCACAGGCCTGTTTGGATCTCAGCTGTGCGGTGTGCGGGGCCACGGGGCAGGGAGCAGGTCCTGGGCCCCGGGGGTGCGGCGCCCGGCCGCGGGCCGGCGGGGGCGGGGCGCGCCGAGGCCCTGTTGTTTTTCCTGTCGCGAGCGAAAAGGAAACAAAGTGGGCAGCGCAGGGTGCCGGCTGTCAGCGCGCGCCTCTCCTCTCTCTCGACGCTCACTCGCATCCCGCGCCTTCACCCCGACAGGTAAGCGCTCACCCCGGCTGCTTCTGGGGGCAGCGGGAGAAGGACGGGGGACCCTGGTCCCTGGCCTCGGCTCGTGTGCGTCTCCTGTGTGCGCCCTGTGCCTAGGGGTCCCTCCCCAGGCCTGCGAGCCCGGCCTGGGACGCCCCCGGAACCTGCCACTATGCGCCGTTCCAGAGGGGCGTGCCTGGCTCTCTTGCTCCGGTGCTGCGGACCCTGCCAAGCTGGACCAGGGGCTCGGCACCCGGCAGCCGGGATGGCGGGGTCAGAGCTGCGCGCCCGCTCAGCGGTGGGACCAGGTGTGCCCGGGGTGGACCACACACAGCCCCGGCCCCACGCGCCCTTCCTGGCACCGGTGAGCCAGGCTCGGAGCGGCTGCTGGACGCTCCATCCCAGTGCAGGGATGTGCGGGGTCCAGCCCTCTCCCCGCCCGCGCGGCTTGCCCGATTACCAGCAGCGGCCCGGACTGGCGAGATCTAGCCTCCAGATCTGCGGCTGAACCGGGTTACGGCAAAACCGCCTCCAGTTTTGCATTTCCGGACTTTTTTTTTTTTTTTAACACTCTTACCCGTAATTTCGTCTGAATGGGGCTTTTCTGGTTAGTCGAAACTTTTTTTTAATGTAAATTTCCTCCTGTCTTCCAGTTTCTGTGAGATGGACTGGGACCCGGGCAGAGCACCGGGACAGGGACTTTGCACTCCGGAATGGATGTGCGAGGGGCCCCCAGGGGCGCTCTCGGGAGGGGACAGCGTGAGGGTGGGAGTCCTGAGACAGTGTGGCAGGGTAGAGGGGGGCGCTACTCTTGGACTCTGTTGCGTTTGCACGTGGGGCACCTTTAAGGAGGTGCCTGCGGGTCTTGACGCTAGATCATCTGGAGTAGGATCCGCTTGGTCCCTGGACATCCCCGAGGCTGTGGGGCAGGCTGGCTGGCCCATCTTTGCAGAGGTGTTAACAGTATAGCCACCCTCCTCCCCACACACACACCCCTAGTCTTGGCCCTTCCTTGCCGTCATGTTTACTGAGTGGACATGGGCAGTCCCATGTTACAGCTGAGCACAGTTCCCAGGGACCCACACAACAGACAGTGGCAGGGGGCCGGGGGAGGGGGGGGACTAACCCACAAAATCTGCCGCTCCCCTGCCCCTCTGTGTCAGTCAGGCAGAGGTGAGGGCAGTGACCTTGTGGTCCAGTTACACACGGGCAGCTGCTTTTTGCTTTTGCAAACCCCGGGGACCAGTCCCCCACACAGCTCAGGGACCTGCTGCAACCTCCCCTTGGAGTTGGGATGTGTCTGTCTCCCCAGTGAGAAGACTGGGGGGCGGGGGTATGGGTGAGGAAGCACCTTCAAACCCAGTTTCCTGCAGTGCAGTCTGCAAAGCCCACCTCTGGGCCCTCCATGCCCATTGGGGTGCCTGCCTTGCAGCCACAGTACTCCCCCTCCCCGCCATACACACACAGCCTGGTTCCTGCAGGCTCTGATTCTGGTCCAGCCTAGGGGCTGTGTGTGCACACCCACCTTCTGACAGCTGTGCTCCCCAGGGGTCTACATTGTAGCCAGGGCTTGGGCTGAACAGGGTGGTCAACATGGGGGTGCCAGCCCTGGGGGTGTGGCTGGACACACAATTGGTAAACAGGCTTCAGCTTTTGCAGCGCACCCCCCAGCTGGCCCTGGGAGCTGGGGACGGAGGTGGGGGTGGCGATGGGGACGGAGGTGGGGGTGGCGGTTCCTGCTCCACCTTGTTTTCCTTCAAGTGCACAGTGAAAGGGAGAAGTGAATGTGCAACTTGTGAGGCAATTCCCCTTTGGCTTGTTTGTGAGAGGGCAGCTCCCTTCCTCTGCAGGCCAGCTGCTGCTGCTGCAGGTCTGATGGCTGGTGGGATGGGGGGTGGGGAACCCAACGTGTCCCTCATGTGGCTGTGGTAGGGGGCCGGGGGAAGCTGCAGGCGCCCCCCGCCCCTAGAGCTGCTGTCGGATGGGGTGGCCTGCAGGGCGGATGCCTTAGGAGGGGTGATGACGGGTACCCTGTGCAACCCAGGCCAGCCCAAGATGATGGGGTTGGGAGAGTCACCTGGCCAGTCAAGGAGCCGTACGCAGCCCAGGCTGCTGCCCCCACGCCGACTGTGCACGTGCAGCCTGATTTGGCTCTCGTTTTTTGGGTGGAAAACCCCAGCAATCATACCAGAAACATTGCCAGTTTCAAGGCGGAAAATAATTACAAACCTGGGAACCTTCCTCCTCTTTCTCCGTGGCCGACACTGTGGCTTTCTGGCTTTCCACGAGATGCAAAATGCAGCCCCTCTCCCTGCCCCCATGGCCAGCACAGCCCAGGGTGGGTGCTGGCCCCTCAAGCCCCATGGTCAGGGCCGCCCGCCTACCAGGGTGGCTTGCAGTTCCTAAGGGCAGAGAGAGTGAGAGGCCTGTGTGTGCCAGTGCTGGTCTCAGGACCACCTGGGGGCAGGGAGGCGGAGTGGCTTCCCCTCAAAGAAAGTGCTAGAGCCATCAAGGGCAGCCTGAGCCTGGCCGCTGTGACAAATGACCACACACTTGGTGGCTTAAGACAACGGAAGTTCATTCTTGCGCACTTGTGGAGGTCCCAACGGTCCTAACCCCTCCCCAGGCTCTGGTGGAGGGGCCTGCCCACCTCTCCCAGCTGCTCACAGCCCTGGCGCTTCTGGGTTCGTGGCCACATCACTCCAGCTGCTGTTGCCCAATTCCTAGGGCCACCTCCTGCGTGTGCTCTGCCCGCTCTGCCCGCGCTTCCCTTCTCCATTGGCCGTAGCCTTAGTGTGAGCTCTGACCCTCCTTGGAGTCCTAGAACAGGGACACACACAGAGGCTCCCGCCGCCTGCTTTTTCTGGCTGTCCACCTAGCTCCTCCCTGTCCACCTTGATCAATACAGGCTCACCGTCCCCCCAGTCCCTTCTCTGCTCTGCCAGTCTTGGGCCACCTGCCCAATCCCTGCTGCAGCCCAGTGTCCTGATGGGAGCAGAATCGCCTGGCACCACAAACTTCTTTGGGGTGGAGCTGGCGGGAGGCGTCTGCCCTCTCCACCTCATAGGAGGGAGGGTGGGACACAAGGGGAGATGCACAGGGTGAGGAGGGGGCTTTGGGGTTCCCTGCCTCTGGGGGCAGCATGAGTACTGTTGTGAGATGTGTGGAGGCAGTTGTGGAATGCGCCATTCTTAGTCCCTTTTTTGCTGCCGGGAGCCCCTGGGGAGCCCCTGAGGGTCCCCTCTTGGACTTCAGGGTCCAGCTGTAACTGCAGCAGTGACCGGTGTCCTTGGAGGTCAGGTGCTGCCCAGGCACACGGCACCCTATAGCGTGTATGAAGGAGCTGGGACAAAACTCTGTGTGTGTGTGTGGGGGGGGGGGGCGGGGAGCTTCTGTTTTAATTAGATGCTTATTTATTTCATTTGAAAGTCAGAGTTAGGAGAGAAAAAGATCGACCTTCCATCTTCTGGTTCACTTCCCAAGTGGCTGCAGTAGCCAGGGCCGAAGCCTTCAACTTCATCTGGGTCTCCATGGTTGGCAGGGCCTCAGCACCTCAGACCATCCTCCACCACTTTTCCAGGAGTGTTAGCAGGGAGCTGAATGGGAAGTGGAGTAGCCAGGACTCGAACTGATGCCCATATGAGATGCTGGCCTTGTAGGTGGTGACTTTACTCACTGGAGGAAACCTCTGATCTCAACATGGTGACCGTCCTTGATTTTTTTATATATGCATTTTAATAGCTGTCATTAGTACACACGTGCTTTTTAAAATCTGCCATTTTCAGCATGCTGAAACGTGGTTTTTGGTGCACACTGTCGTGCAGCCGTCACCACCAGCCATCGCCAGCAAGTTTTTTTCACTTTGCAAAACTGAAATTCTTTCTCCACTCACACCCGCTCCCTCTTCCTGTCTGCTCCCAGCCCTGGCAACCTCTGTTATTCGATTCTAATTCAACACATGCAGGTGCTTCGTGGAAGTAGAACACTACCTTATGCTTGTCCTCTTAAAATGGGCTTTTTTTTCTTCTTCTTCTTTTAACTTTTATTTCCCTTATTTTTCATGCACTTGAAAGGTAGAGCTAGAGTAAGAAAGAGTTCACGTATCTGCTGATTCCCTCCCCAAGTGCTCACAGTAGCCAGGGCCCGGAACTCCGTCGAGTCTCCCATGGAGATGGCCGGGACTTGTTCCATCATCGGCTGCCTTCCGTGTTGCATTAGCAGGGAGCTGGATGGGAGCGGAACAGCCAGGTCTCGAACCAACACTCTGATGGGAAACCCAGGTATCCCAAGCTGCGCCGCAATGCCTGGCACATTTCATGTAGCTTGTTGTCCTTTTTTTTTTTTTTAAGATTTATTTATTTTTATTGGAAAGTCAGAGATTTATAGAGAGGAGGAGAGGCAGAGAGGAAGATCTTTTGTCCGAAGATTCACTTCCCAAGTGGCTGCAATAGCCGGAGCTGTGCCGATTCGAAGCCAGGAGCCTCCTCTGGGTTTCCCATGCAGGGTCCCAAGGCTTTGGGCCATCCTCCACTGCTTTCCCAGGCCACAAGCAGAGAGCTGGATGGGAACCCGGGCATGCCGGGTACTAAAACTGGTGCCCATATGGGATCCTGGCACGTTAAAGGTGAGGACTTCAGCTGCTAGGCCACCGCCAGGCCTGCCTGTTGTCTTAAAGAACCATCCGTGCTGGAGTTGTGCTGGAGTGTCCTTCCTCTTTAAACGAATGCATTCATCTCTCTGTGTGTGTGGAGACCATGTCTTGCTAGTTCATCTGTTGATGGGCGCTGGGACTCCTCCCGCTTTTGGCTGCTCTGGCTTGCCCTGCAGCAAACGGGACGCGCAGACACCTGCCTGGTCCTGCTGCCAGTTCTCACAGGTGTTTGATCAGACACGAAGTTGCTGGACCACACGGTAGTTTTGCATTGGGAGTTTGGAGGAGGTGGACGTGGGCCGTTGTAGTGGCTCCTGTTCACATCCCATCGTCTCACTAGCAGTGACACGTGGCATCACAA